GTTCCTTCCCCCGGCTCGGGTTTGTGTCCTGGCTCCTGTTCTGCGCTGGGTGGTGCTGCTCCATCGCAATCCCCATGGAAAGGCATCGGGCTGCCGAGCTCCGGGCTCTGGGCGTTCATTGCTGCCCCAGATGTGCAGGGCGTCTCTGCTCCGGCCCGTGCGGATGCAGAACGAGCCTGGACTCTTCACTGTTCGCTCTTGAGGCTGTTTATTCATTCTTATCTGTAAAATTTTCTTTCTGCCCAGCCGAGATCTGCTCAGCAGGGCAGCCACACGCACTCTGTGTTGTCCTTTTACACTGCAAACTACGCATAGCATATTTACACTAAATTCCCAATACCCATCACCTATGTTAGACAGTGAGCTTCCACTCTAAACCAATCCCAAAGTGCCAGCATCACTGCAGAAAATGGAGAGCAAGAAGAAGAAGAAGAAAGGCTGGACATGCCCAGATTCCTCCATCTTGTCCCCCTAACCCCCATACCAAAAATCCTAAAATCTGCATTTTCACCCTGTGATCATTGCGTTATTACATCATTCAAACCTGTGTGACTTTCATGTCCTCATACAAAGCTGGTGACTTGCTCCGGGGGTCACAATCAAATCCCCATGTTCTGGGGAGCGTGACAGGGTCCTGGCAGCTCTGGACACCCGGAGGGATGCACTGAGCTCCGACAGCGAGGGAGGCACCAAATGCTCTTTGTTAGCCAGAACGCTGCAAGGTGGGAACAGCAGGGACAATCTTCTGTCCCTCAGATGCTGGGCAGCAGCCACACACAGCATCCTGGCCTCCCCAGGCGAGGGTGTGGGCATCCCAGGTGTTACAGGAGGGGTTTTCTCTCAGCAGAAAGACTCTGTTAACCCTTTCTGCTGTCAGACAGAAAGGATGTAGCCGTGAGGCCTTCTTGCTGCATGGCTGGACAGAGCCAAGGACACACAGCTGCCCTGCAGGAGCTGCTTGTCTCTGCTGGAGTGGCCTGAGCTGCTCCTTGGGACAAGGGCTCTGTGTACAACCTGTAACATCTGCCTGTGGATCCCATCTCACGCAGGACCCTTCAGACCTCCTACTTGGCTTAGCCCCACATGGGTGAACTTCCCGGGGGAGAAATTACCCATATTTATAGCCAGAGCAGGTCTCCGCCCCCTGTAGCATCTCTCAAGCTCTGAGCAATCAGAAATACCTGTGGCTGGGCAAGCTGCCCTCAGGGAAAATGTCCAGCTCATTGCAGGGGGCTGCACTGGGTGACCTCTAAAGGTCCTTTCCAGCCCAAACCATCCTGTGACTGAGGAAAGGGAGAGAAACACGGATTTCTGTGCATGGCTAAACCAACCAAGATGATGACGGGGAAGGATTTGCCTGCAGTCACCCCACTGCCAAGGGGCAGAGATGGAAGCTGTCCTCAGCTGCTGTGCTCTGCTCTAACCCCCAAAACCCAGATGAAACACCCACATTGGAAACCACAGAGCTCGGTGTCAGAATCCTGGGCAGCAGCAAGTGGAGACAGGGACAGAAAGGGAGGGATGCAGGGTGGGAGCCTGCAGGGTACCAGGAGCAATCTCCTCCCTGGTTCTTGAGGGGACCACGCCAGAGCAGCAGTGGAAAAGGGCAAGGAGTGAGAGAGGTGTCAATACAGCAGGGACAATCTGCTGCATTTCACATGCTGCAGGCTGAGTTTACAGAATGGCTCCAGAGAATTTCCCATTCCCACTGCAGAAAGGAAGGAAGTCAGCACGGATCCTATGGCACTGAGAAATGATGAGATGGATCCAGGAAAGACATCAAATGAAACAGGAGGTTGGAAACAAAAAAGGAAAATAAAGGTTAAAGAGAAGATGAGGTAAAGAAAAGTCAAGGTAAGTGTAGATAAGACAGAGTGCATAGAGCAGAGAAAAGAATAATGCAGGAAAGGGACAGGGCAGCCAAAAAAGGAAAGAAAAAATTCCTGAGAGATAATAAAATTTCGGCAGTCCAGCATGGATTCAAAAATTGTCCAGGATCATGGCTGAAGCATTTTCCAGCACCAAGTCTAGGACATGCACTTCTGTGAATCAAAGGAATTTTACAGAACACAGAAAAATGTGCTTGAGCATGTCCAAGGCAATTCTGCTGCAGTGCGGGACAGACAGCGCCCACATTACTGACCATTAAGAGTCATTTTTGGATTGAACAATCATCAGTTCTCAGCAGAGCTTCTCTATTTTCTTTGACATTTTCTACACGTGAACCTGTCCTACCAACATTAATCATTCAAACGGGTGATAAGTGGACAAGGAACTATCAAAAAAGAAATATGAAGAAGTAATTCACCAGGAAAAAACAACCCAAAGTCCCTAGATTTTAAGTGCAGAGGTCTTTGCATTTATCCTTTTTGAATAGAGAACTTTTACCTTTGGTTTTTGTAGTCAGAGTATTTATTTGTCAGGAGGATAACAGTTTCCTACATATTCATTCCTGTACAACATAACGTCTCTATCAAATGACTGAAGAGAAAATGGGAATACTGTGTGGAACGTGGAGGTTGTGCAGAGGGTGGGAGATGCCCTGGGAACATTCCAGGCTGGGCTGGATGCACAGGTGAGGGCTCTTGGCAATGAAGATAAATCTCACTCAATAAAGCCAACAAAACCAAAGGAGTGAACCCACCCAGTGATCCGCAAATGAAGAATTACAAAATGGGGATTACGAAGGGATAAAGAGTTCTGGGAAGCCACAAATCTGAATAAATAAGCATCAATTTTATTGAATCATGAATAATTTAAGACTGGTACAATCATCAGCTTTATTCTCCATGACACGGGGTGGGGAAGGGGTAGAAACAGGGAGAGTGAGAAAGGGGAGGCATGATCTCAAACAGACCATTCACAAATTCCAATCCTAAATGAGAACTGAAAATTAAATAGGGAGAGGAGCAAATGGAAAACATCATAAACGTACACAAAATACTCAATTCCTAGTTTTCTCTTTAAAAATGGCTAGAAAAAATTCATCAAAATGCAGCACTTTTAATCAAATATTTACATTTCTATGTTACAATGAAAAAATGTACATCTTATAGAACATATTTCATAAACTGTTCCACTGGAAACGACTAGATCAAAACAGCAACCTTCCATTTAATATCAACAAAGATTTTTTTGCTTTGTTTTTGTATATAATTTTTTTTCTTGAAAGAAAATTGTCACATTTAGACAAGATTTCATACACATAATATCGAAGTTAAGCATCAACAATGAAATATCAAGTTTGCTTCTTTCAAAATGTACAAAAAGGCTAACCAACCCCCTCCCTCCCCTTTCCCAAATAAACCACATCTCATTAATGGCCTGTATCATTCTTGGCAGTTCTGAAGGAAAGAAAATGGTTTATTCTCTCAATTTATAACTCAACACGAATGTTGCATAGAATCTTGCATTTCTCGTTGATATTTTTTTTTAAACAAGCCAACTTTGTAAGGAGGAGAAAAAAGGAAGGAAAAAAAATAAAAAAGGAAGTGTTTTGAAAAAGCCTTAAACGAGAAGAAAGCCACCTAAAGAAAGAGTTAATCTATGAAAAGTCCTGATAAAAACTAAGACGTGTGCACAACAGGTAACCCTGCTTCCCGAAGTTTCAGAAAAGACATGGAATATTGTGATGCTCAGAATGACTAGCCTATCCAAAATTGCCTCTCTCACTTTAAGCCAAGCTAGTGTCAATAAAAAAAAGAAGAGATAATGGAAATTTCTTCCTGAGCTTAAGCACAGGATTAAACATGACAAAAAAAAATACCCCGTTCCCCACAAATAAAACACTACTTTAAACTTGTCTTTTAGACTCAGTTAAAGGTCAACTGAGACATTTTCTAGGATATTAAGTCCATTTAAAGCCCTAGCCCTGCAACTGGGTTTTTTTACAGGCACATGCTCTGTCTGCATGGATTCAGTTTGGGGATTAGGTACCAAAATTCACAGTAGTAGCAGGTAAAGTCAGTGCTGGGAAGCAGAATTGTCAAGACTACTGGGAAAATTAACTTCTCTCAAACTCATCATCAGCATGCTATGGATTTGATTCCATACAGATCTAACCCATTTTTTACAGTACCAAGAACTGGATTAGGAAAATTGGCTGAGTAACCTTTGTTATTCCATTCAGTGAAATAATGAAATCAGAGTTCATAAGGTTAAAACAGTAACAACACCGAGCTCTTCCCCCCCATCATTAAAATATTTAAATTTTTCCTTTTACAATATTTTTCTTAAAAAAAAAAAGTCATCAGCACTTAAAAGTTGTAACAGGAGCAGATTCAAGACCAGCTTAGTAAGACAAAGTACAGTTATATTACAGAAAGTCATGAGGTATAATAAAACCATCCTCTCGAGCTGAGCCACAGAAGCATGAACTTGTTTGTTATGGTCCTTTAAACCCACAAGCTATTGACAAAGTGTTTGTAGTAAGATTTCTTTCTGTACATTGAAAAACCAGCATATTCCTGTAATTTATTAGAGCTGAAAAGCTTCTTTGTCCCTTCTGCATGGATAAAACAGCTCTTCAGTGATTTGTTAGCTGGGGATTGATATGAACCTGAAACGTTATCTCATTTCCCTCCTTTTTTGTCACATTAAAACAAATTCTAGTATCTCATACAAACAATATTCACAGCAACTTATGATATTTCAAGAGATGACTTTAGCCCTGTTTCTTTAAATAAAATCCCATAATATACAGCACTAATTTAATCCAACACAAGTAGTACAAAATAAGGCATCGCTTTCAGAAGTCAGCACCAGAGGAGAGCTGGGAAGGCTGGCACAGGGCTGGCTGGGCACAGCTGCCGTGCTGGAGGATGGTGTCAGGGACAGTGCAGCTCTTTGGGAGGGATGCTGTGGTTCCCAGCACAGGCACAGCCCCAGCCCCGACCGTGTGCGTGTGTGCGTCACTGAGGAGGGGACACCAGAGCAGGCTCACAGCTCTGCCAAACCCAAAGGCATGGCACAGCTAAACCAAAAGACACGGTACTCAGTACCTTATCTTTTTATTTCCAGACCTGAATACTGCTGAAATGCTATTTTTTTATTACTTTTTTAAACTTTGCAATTAAAAAGAAAATTAATGGAAGTCTTGTCGCCAGAGTAGCACTGGAACTGCCACAGAGCTAAATTTTAATTAACCCCCTTATGGTTGTGCTGATTGGAATGAAACCTCTGAACAAAACCCAAAGTTTTCTAAAAACAGCTGTCACATTTCATGGCAAGAATTAAAAACTGGAGTCTGCCGCAGCCGTTGGCAGGGAGCAGCTCAGCCCTGGGTGTGCAGAGCTCTCGTGCCCGTGCACTGCCCGGCTCCGTGGGCACAGCCCGGCCACTGCCCTGGCAGGAGGGAGCCCCCTGTCCCCAGGGTGGGTCAGTGCCCTGTAAACAGCACAGAGCTCAGCCCAGCTGGCGGTGTGGGTCGGAGTGGGAAGAGAACTGGGCCCTGACTAGCAAAAGGCTACCTGATTTCTCATTTGTAGCAGGATTGATTGCTACACAGTGTTTGAAAAAAACCTGATTTGTTCAGACTGTATACATATTTTTATATATTCCTATTTATATATATAATCTTTATAAACACACAATGAAAGAAAACCAAGGTCTCAGACTGGCAAGGAGAGCAGCGATTTTTTTTTTAATTTTTTTTTCCTTTTCTCATTTTCTAATATTTATTCAAGCTTCCCTGTTTTGCAGCTTTGCCTTCATTGAGTATTATTAGGAGGCAAGTTGTAGATATTGTTATAGCACCAGAACTATATGAAGCTGAGTTTAACCCACAAAGCTGACTGGTAAAAGTCCAGCCCTCACGTAAATGTGTTTGGTCAGAAGCAGCATAGGCAAATATTCCCTCTCCCCTCTCTTTCCAGACAGTACATGGCACTAAGCTGCTTGCTTCACAGCTGTGAAACTGCCCCTCACCCCAGTCCCTTCATCTTGGTAATGATGATTATTTTTAACATCTTCAGGATCTTAGGCATGAGAGCTTACAGCAACTAAAAAGAAGGAAACAAAGGAGTAGTGCAGTTCTCATCATGGTCAAAAGAAAAACAATAAAAAGGTCACTTGGGTTGCCTGCACCCAGGTTCAAGATTGCTCCAAGTGTCTTGTTCTTGCAGCTCTTAATACTGAGATCCCAGCCCAGGAAGGTTCTTTCCATCAGTCCGTGGTCAGGGCTCTTGCCAAGAGGGAACGGCCTCTGCCTGAGGGAGATCAGAGCGTGGACTCCAGCGAGGAATCCAGGATGTCGTCGTGGTGGCTGTTGCTGTTGGAGTCGCTGTCGTAGCTCTGGGGGCTGGAGTAGTTGGCTGCCTCCTGCAGCCTCATCAGCATGTTCATCTGCAGAGCCAAGGAAGCTCATCATTATTTGTACCTTGAGGCAGGAACAACATTACCTGCACACGACAGCTACAGTGGCGCTGGCTTTGCCAGAGGGCAAGGAAGGACAGGGAGGAATGAGCAGGGGCAGCAACACCGAGCCTCAGAACAGAGGGAGTGACTGATTTACTGGCATTTCCCTAGAAACAAGGCAAGGGAAAGAGCTGTGCTCTCAGGAACGGGAGCTTACCAGCGGATCTCCCTCGGCATCGCTGACGGGAACCTGCTTGCTGGCGGAGCCCTCCCGGGACACGGAGTAGCCGTCGAAGCCCACGTCCTCGGGCCGCAGCTGCAGCAGGGGCGGCCACTCGTGCTGCTGGGGGCTGGCTGCCCAGGGGTACGTGTCCATCACCCACCGGGCAGGGTCCTCCCAGGGCGCCCTCCTCCCGTACAGCTGAAAGGGCACAAAGCCGTGTCAGACGCTCCAACCCCCTCAACAATGAACGTGCCACGGCTCCTGTGCTGCAGCAAACACTTGGCAAGCAGGACTGAGTGTGAGAGTTTCCCTTCCCTGAACACACACCAAGCCCTTTGCCATGGCACTGCTTTGCAAGGAGCTGACCACCTTCTCCAAGACTGCAGTGCCCTTCCTTCTCCTGGCACCAGCTGCAGGAAGAAATGCCTGAAGATAACATCACCTAATTAAGTCAGCTTAAACAACCTCAGCACACTAAAGAAGCCATCAGTGCTGACATCTGGGTTGCACTGGGAGCTGCCTTACAAACTGCCATCCATGGAATGTGGAGGAGGAAACGTGAGATCTGTCACCAGGCAAGAATGGTGGATGTCAAGGCATAAAGTTTTCCATGGATTTTTTTTGTGTTCAACCACAAAAAAGCACCAGCAGCATTTGTCCATGCTCAAGTTCCTAAGCAAGCAAGCTCTGCTTCAAAAACTTTTTTCTGGATGGAACGGACTGCACTGCTGAATAATCCCAACATATCCTCCCTGTCCTATTCTATTTGTCTTAGCTAGACAACGCATTCATTTGAATGCTTCATGACTACCAAAAGCATAAATACAAGTGGCTTTAAAACATTTATTTCCACTTTATAAATATCACCATCAACATCCTTCAGCAACTGCTGCTTGTCTCTGACATTTTGTCACTGTCCCCTTCCTGTAAAAACAAAGGCCTAGCAAAGAAATTCCCCAGTTCTCAGATGGATCTAGGACTATCTCACTTTCCTCAATGTAATTTCTCCATGGTGTGTTTTTTGAGGGTTTAGATTCTGCATGCACAAAGCACTGAGGTCCTGTGAGGCAGGGGGCTCCAGCAATGGTGCCAGGCAATCTGGAACAGACCCCTCATCCCTCAGCCCTGCTACTTTACCTTCCCTGTAGCTGCAAGGTGGGGCCAGCCAGATCTCCTACTTCAACCTTGTTCTCAAATTTACAATGATACATGTCATTTGCATCATTAAGTGGTGAGGACTTTGTATTTTTCACATCTTTTCTCCTGCAGAACTCTGAGTGGATGTGAGCTCAGGAGATAAGATAAATGCCTCACCAACCACGGCAACCAGGTCTGTGCACCCCTCCCAGTGGCACGTTTTCCAGGGAGCAAGTCCTGGGACAAGGATGGAACAGGTTGCTCCACAAAGCACAAAAGAAAAATCACTGGAGTATGAGTGACTGTGGAAGCCACAGGGACTCAGTGTCCTCCTTCTGCTGGTGCTGCATCCTGTACTGATACACCAAGCAGGAAGAACTTGGGTTTTATACAACCTTCTAATTTTCACATCTCTGTTTTGAGGAACAAAACAAGCCAGCTCCCACGGGAGCAATTATTGTAAGGAATCATTTGGTTTGTTTGTATTTGACCCAAAATAATTCTCTAAATGAGAAACAGAAATATAAAAAAAGCTGAGAGCAGATGCACAGAGATCAGAGCAAAATTAGGAGTCCACCTTTCCCTTCTGGAAGGCAATTTCAGGAAAGAAGATGTGCTCAGAGGAGTCTTTGTGGGGTGAGGAAGAGAAAACAGGCCCAGATGAAACCCACCTTTCCAGCACTAGCTAGTTCATTAGCACCACTCTCTTCAAGTACTAAGGTGCCTCTTCGTATCCATCAACCAAAGAAAAGAGAAATTATTTAAATAGGGATGAATTAGTGCAATTGGGGGAAATGGGGCTGAAGGCTATAAAGAATCTAAAGCACAGTGGGAAACTGAGGTCCTCACACCTGGAAAGATGGAGGAACTGGGCAGAACAAGGAAGCAAAAGGATGGTTTTACCAATTACTCCCTCTCCACTTCCATTACTCATTTTTCAATGCTTTCCACAGGTATTGATCAATGATATGAGAGCTCCAAAACCCAGTACAAGGAGCCCATCATTATTGTGAGTATCAGTTCTCCCCATTTCAAGAGCAAGCAAAACCACCTGCTCTCCATTTTCTTGTTTTAGCTTGGAAAGGTTCCTGGCTCCCATTACCTTCCTTTAAAACAAGTTCCATGTAAAATGGTTCTCCAGTTCTATTTCTAGCAAAGTTCCCGAGTGTGTTTTGTACTCCAGGACCTGTTGTTTTCCTTATGGCAAAGAGCCTACCACAATTGTCCCAAAAAGAATGAGGTCTCCAAGCACTGGCAAATTTCAAATGGCAGCTGCCCAAATTATACCCAAAACTTGGAGAATTCATGTGTTTCACAATTTTTTAAGAAGCCATTAGTAAAAGATTAGTTCTAAACCATATTTTCAAGCAGGTGCTGCTGGGCTTATTCTGTGAACAAAGAGCTGGTTATTAAGAAACCTCTTTTTTCCCCTATCTAAATGGCAATTCTATAGCAATTCTCTGCAGAACCCTCCTCCTGATTCCAACAGATTTCATAGTCATAGGGACACCAAAAACTATCCTAAATTGCCAGATTATCTGTGTTTAGTAATTAAGTCACAATCAACGATGATTTCACCTCATCCTCTGAAAGAATTATGAAGGAATCTACTAAAAAAATCAACTTAAATACTGAGAAGTAAACAAAATGTCACTGATACTGCTCCTGTACACATTCTCTCTGCGCAAAGCTTTGTTCCTATGCTGAAAGATTTGATTTCCAAAGGAAAATCCTGTGTAACACAGTTCATGATGACAAGCCTATTTCTGTGATGCACAGGAAAATCTGAAGGTGTGCTTTTGGAACTCAGTATTGAAAGGTATTTGTATGCCTAACTCCCCCCACTGCAAACATCAGCAGTTTGGCATCTAATCACTTCTTCCACTCTCTATTTCCAAAGTGCCTGAAGAGACTCATTCTGCCTGAAATTACTGACAACTCTGGTTACGTTTGCATGGACATGCAGATATTCAACATGCAAGGCTGCATCTACAGAAAATGTTGCCACCACTGAGTTTTGCTGCCTTTTGAACAGATGCCATTCCAGAGCTATGATTTTCCCCTTTGCCTGCTCACCTGTAGCCCTTCTCTTACTGCCTCCAGAAGATAGGGAATGATGGAGTAGTTCCACAAGTCAGTGAACCAAACTCTAGAACCATCTACATCTATTGGACACGAAAGGAAGAGCCGTGGACCTGGAGAGGGAAATGCAGAGATTACACTCAAATCCCAAGCACAGTAAGCATCAAAAATAGGGTGATGACATCTAAAAGCAGGGTTTTAAAGAAAGCCTTTTTTACACAGCACAAGGAAGTACACAAGGAAATAAAATACATATATTTACATATGCCTGGGCACAGTACTTACCAATAGTAACATCAGAGGAGCTGTGAGCCTCCAAGAATTTGTTCAGATGTTGCCAGACCTTGGGAATCCAATCAATAATCTTCACCAGCTCTGCATTCCTCATCCTGCCACTGATCTCTGTTTCAATCAGCTTCCTCCTCAGGAAGCGGCCGAGAAAGCCCTTGACTGGCTCAGTGTGGTTTGCACACAGCACCCATCTATGGCACAACACCAGAAATGCACTTTATTTCTCTTCCACGCTACTGAGGGTAACCATTCCTGACTACATTTCTCTTCTTATTTCCAGATTATCAGGATCAGAATGGGCTATTCCTGTCATACTTGTTTTTCAGCAAAAGTTACTTTGGAATATTTCACTAGATGAGCCAATTTTTATTGTGCATTGTTTCAGCTCATTTCTCAATAATCTGCTTTGCCTAAATATTGTCTTACTGAAAATCTGGTAGAAAATCAAATATCATAACAATCCTCTATAAAATAAAAGTTTCATGAACCCAGTTCCTTTAATGACAGCACCATGACCAAGCTGAACATGCCAGGGCAGCAACGAGGAACAAATGGCATTTCTCTCTCACATTGCTATTTCAGCTGATAAGAACAATTTCAAATGACTCAGTGGCCATTACTCGTCTGCCAGCCCACAAACATAAATGAGAAACATGAATAAACAGTACCTGAAATTATGGTGAAGTTGAAGATTAGGTGTGGAGGAGGTGGCTTGGTTCATTGTTCCAATAATATACGGACTATTGGGAGAAAAAAAATCGAGCAAATCAAACTTGTGAACTTTGAAAAAACAAGTTTTAAGTAAAACCTGAATATTAAAAAAAGTTATTCAAAACTCTTTTGTCAAAGAAGGTTTTGTAGTTACTTATCACCAAATTCTCTACTGAGATTCTGTGAACATCAAATTCTGCAAGTGAACCAGAAGTCCCAAAACAGGATCTTCCACCACAAATGGGGTTTTACTACTAATGGCCTACATCATGAAGCAAATGCTTACTTTTAAATTACTTATTTCAGAAAAATAGAATTCTATGAAAGAAAAAGATCCCTCTGAAGCACTGTCCACAATATGGACAACCTGGTCATCTTCCTCCACATTACTAAATTAATGAAGACTTGTTTTTGTGTGATTGGATTTTGCAGGAGCGTGCTCTGAGTACAGGATTAACATTTGCAATGTGTTCTGACACTGTTTCTTTACCATTTGTGGTACTTGCAGTTCAGGAGCCCATTAAAGATCTCTCCTAGGGAGCTAACATGGTGCAAATTATCCAGAATGATGACAAGAGGCATATCCACAGCGTTATTTTCACTGTTGCACTGGTCTGCCAGGTTGGACAGGTACTGCCGGAGTTCCTGCATACCACATACAAAGAAAAGAAGAAAAAACATTTTTTTCTTCACATTTCTTAAAAAAATCGATTAAGATAAATAAACCTGGTAACAAAATCTAAAGCAAAAGAGTCTGACATCTAACAAATCATGTTTCTCAGTAACAATTCTCATTTTCTATGAGAAAACCCAAGGTATGGCTTTCTTTCTCTTTTGTAGGTTATGCTGAAGACTCAGAGATTGTGCCAGAAATCCTGTGTGAGATAAGGGCCTAAAGAGAGGTAATATTTTGTAATTTACCTTGTGTTTTTTATTCATCAATGTCAGACTAAGAGGTCTGAAACATATTTTTGTTTCTTTTCAGGAAGTTGATCAACTCTCCCCATTCCAAACCAAACTTTGCATTCCAGCTAGATTTTATGTATCATCTTGCAACGGTTTTTCCATCAAAATACAGACGACAAAATTAATCTGGAACAAACCATCCCTCATCACAGGCCAAATCTGGACGCCTTCAGCAATGCTGGAATGAAGGATGAGCTTTTGGTGCTGCTGATGAGTGGTTGAAATCCTCTCAGCAGCTTTAAAGCATGTCTGAAATCATACCAGTGGCTTACAACCACAATTTCAACCATCCCTTTCCTCCAGAGGAAAATACGCCTGAGGCCATCAAATACTCAGATTTGTATTTTTTTTCCTTTTCTTTAATCTAGATGATCACTGGAAGTATATTCATCAAAACCAGCAGCACATAAAACAGCAGAGACACGCCTTGCCTGCCCAGGAATGTGTCTGCACAACAGCCCAGCACACGGTTACAGCGCTGATACCTGCAGCTGCAGAGCCTCCTGACAGCCTGCAGATGCATTTCAGGGTTCTGGGAAAAGTGCCCACATGCAACAGGGATTGCTTCAGTCTCTGGGAATTTTCTGCAGGTGTTCAGCTTCCTGGGCAATTCTCAGGCTCCTTAAACACTTGAAAGTCACGACACCTTTAGGTGTTTAAATACACACCTGCAAGCCTGCTGTTCCAGACCCATAATCAAGTGAATCTGAAAGCCTTTGAGCATTGCTTCCTTCAGGACAAACATCAGGCTTTGAAAGCGAAGCAGGGTTCAAAATGCCAGGCCAGGAAAGGTCTCAGTGTGCGCGCTCACCTTGCTGGATTTGTGGTCCACGTTGAAGGTGGCGATGATGCCCTCGGCCAGCGGCCGGCCCTCCCTGAGCACCATGTACTCAGACAGCCTGTTGGCCAGGTAGGTCTTGCCCGTGCCGCTGGGCCCCGACAGGATGATCCTCCTGTGCTCCATCAGCAGGGACACGTAGCGCTGCAGGATGGCCTTGGGGATCAGCGACTCGAACACCAGCCCGTCCAGGCTGTTCTCACAGACACCTGCAGCAGGGACACAGCCTCGCTCACATTTCCAGCTCTCATCAATGCACCTGAGCAAGCTGCTCTTCACCTCAGAGCTGAACCTTCCCCAGCCCAGTGTCCCTATGCCTGAGAGAGGCACACATATGTCGCAGACATCTTTATGAAAATCCTTTCCTTAGGACTGTTCCTCCTGAGAAGCTGAGAGGCCTCAGGAACAAAATGTGAACATTGATTATCTGCTGCTGTGGAACTGGTCTCGTGTGACTGTTTCTAATTAATGGCCAATCACAGTCAGCTGTTATCTTTGTTATCATTCCTTCCTTTTCTATTCTTAGCCAGCCTTCTGATGAAATCCTTTCTTCTATTCTTTTAGTACAGTTTTAATATAATATATATCATAAAATAACCAATCAAGCCTTCTGAACCATGGAGTCAGACCCTCACCTCTTCCCTCACCCTCAGCCCCCTGTGAGCAGTCACACACACAAAGCTGGACACAAGTGCAGGGGTGCCCCTGGCCTTAGCCTGGATCCCCCTCCAGCCTCCTCAAGCCTTCAGCTGCACCCCTGAGGCCCTTGGGGAGCTGCCACACCAAAGGATTCCAGGCTGCACTTTTCATGCACAAGCCATCCATTTTACAGCATTTCACCACGCACTCACCCTGAATGTACCTGTTTACTTTTGGATCACTAGACAAAAAAAAAAAAACAAACCCAGCTATCATCAACTCCCCCTGCTTTCCCAAATGCTTGTAATTAAACTCCTCCTCTGTATGCTGATAGTTATCTCCTCTAACAGAAAACTCATACTGATAAGCATTTATGCCGTGTCAGCAGTCACTTTAGGCAGAATTGGCTTAGGGAAAATACACAGTGCTTCAAAATAAACAGCAGGAAGGGAAGTTGGCAGATTACCCAGAGAAATGTTTGCACCTCAGTGGTTACTAGAAACATTAAATATTTATATAGGCAGCTTTATATCTCAAAGGTATATGTAAGTGATTTTCCATAAATTGATTAAACACATTTCTATTTTATTGAAAAGTGTTATCACTTGTGAACCTTCAAGGCACATGTCAAGTCAGTGCAAGTTAAATATAAACTCAAACTGCAGCTTTACAGACACAGTTAGACCTTATGCAATATTTCAGTTAGGGTTTATGACTGGACAATGCATTTTATATAAGTAGAATATCCTGGGTTCATGTCAAGCCTCAGTAAATTGATGTATTTCACAGTTTATTTTGTCTTCCTGCCCACTGCTTTGCTATACAAGGAAACCTGGTTTTTACACCAATATTCAAAAATCTGCTTTCAGTCGCATTTCAAAGTTGATCTGAAGAATGTTTGGCACTGCTCTCAAATACCATCTGTCTGCAGATTTCACAGGTCTAACTTTGAGCAAACTGATATATGGTCAAAATGCAGCAGTTGAGGGTTTTACCCCGAACTTAAGTTTCATAGCATAGTTTTCATAAAAAAGTTATTCCCTGAGAAACGAAAGGAGAAACACAAATACTAAATTTTTATCAGTCTTACAGAATAAAATCAATGGGAATTCTAAAAAACCATACATTTTGAGAAATCCGGGTTTTACGGAGTTTCATAAAATTTGGGCTCCCTCCTTCCTGGTACTTAAGGAGGGACCCTTCAGTAAGACTAATCAAGCAAATGAGTCAAGAGCTATTTTTTTTTTTTAATCCTTCATGAAGGAAATAATAACTATAGCTGTGACAAAGAGCCAATGAAATTTTGAGGCTTGACTCATTTGGAAAGCACTTTGCTGCCCAAACAGCTCCACTGCATCCTTTGTGATGCGAGGTCTCCAGGACAACTGAAGATCTGTGTCATTTTCCCTAGAGTTATGGGTAGAAAACTTGCTGAAATTACAGACTTAGCATGCCCCAAGTGCTGGCTTTATCAAATAAAACAGCAGGAAGTAAACAAACGGTAGGAACAGGAAAAAGCAGTGCAATAAAGAATCTCCGCTCCTCTGAGTTTCCTGACTGGTAAAAGTGAGCAGAGAGCAGCGCAGCAGGCAGGCCAGGCGAGCTTACCTTTGATGGTGACTGAGATGGTGTTGCTGTCCCCCACCAGGTAGCCACAGGGCAGCAGCTCGGGGGTCTCGGCGCTGCTGGTGCGCCTGATGTCCCCGATGCTGTAGCCCAGAACGCTGTCTGAGTTCAGCCCCAGCTGGCTCAGGGGATCCACGTGGATGATGTACTCCTGGGGGCAAAGGGACACACGAGGTCAGGGCAGCAGGCCCCACAGAATTGCCTAAGGCTCCGTGGAGGGCTGAGACTTAATGGTAGGAGTTGCTGGGTCATGATGGGATAGAGAAATATCCCATGTATTCTGTGTTTTGGACCCCAGCTTATCTCTGTAACCCCATAGGTCACTTTCCCCCAACCCCTACTATAGGACAAGTTTGGATCCCCCTATACCCTACAAAAAGGGGCTGTTTAGCCCACTTGGCAGAATAAGAGCCGTCACTGGGACCCTTCACAGACCCCTCCATAAACCATCGCTGTGGAACACCAGGACCTTTTCTTCTCCTCTCTCGTGTCTGCTTCTCCCCCTAGCCCACAGGAGCCTTAGCAGGCAGGAGCTGGAATCCTGAGAGAGCTGAAATCCACTGGGCTTGCTAAGGCAGCAGTGGCTGTGAGCAGCCTGGCTGTTTGGGCACTGTGTCCCAGGAGGGACTGAGCTACCCGGACAGGAGCGCCCTGCTCGGGGACAAAGGCAGCTCTGGGGCAGGGGACCTCAGTCAGCAGCTCCGGGGCCTGCTCTCTGCTGGGACAGTGCTCAGTGCACCCAGCTCAGCCAGCCTGGCACACCAGAACCCCCAGGAGAACTGGGGCTCACAGGCTCTGCAGCACTGACCTTGAACAGGCGCCTCACAACCCCGTCCAGCACATCCCACTTGGTCTTCCCACTGACCCCAATGCAGCCTATGAGGAAGGAGCGAGGCCTGGAGTCCTGCAGGCACAGGATAACTCTGTCAGACAAGTGTGGTTAATGCAATTAAAGCGCTGGCTTCCCTGCCCCCTCCCCTTTTGCTTCTCAATGATGGTGCATCCTTACTGCTCCATATGCTGAATTCTGAAGGGAATATGAAATTCTTTACACATGATAAACGTTTTCTACAGTATTGGAGTCACAAATCTAAACAATACTCAGGTGGCTGTGATGTTAAGTTAAAGGTATTTATTAATCAATTCATGAAAAACTAAAAATCTCTGAGAGAATTACAGTTTAGCAAAGAGACAGAAAGTCTCTTAGGAATATTCTAGACAGAAAAGTAGATGTCAAGTTCATTCTTCCATAACTTCACAATCAAAGATGTTACATTTGCTAGGTTTATCCTATTTATTTTCAGAAATTCTGCTGTGGGCACAGAAACCTATATATATAGATAAACAATACATGGCTCTAATGTATACATGGCTCTAGTAATACAGAAAGAGACTTTATCCTTATATTTTATATTTGATGTATCACAGAATTTTGCATTTTGTAAGGGATTTTAAAGGCAGATAATAGAAATCAGAATAAATACATTTTTTCTGTTTTTCTACAGCTACAATCACTGTGAAACACTAACTGAAGAGAAAACTAATTTCTATCATAAGATTTGAAGTGTTACTAAAACTTGCTGTGATTGCAGTCAATCAGCACCAGTTTTACTATTTATCCAGGGTTATAATAATTAATGCAAAATAGGTATTTAATGGAAAGAGCAGCTGAGTCCATTTTATTTCTGATCATTCAGATTTTTGCCCATCCCTCAGGAAGACATGAAGTTACTTCTTAAACACACTTTAACAGGTGCTCAAAAATGTGAGATAGCAAAGCCATTGCTTGTCAAGGACTGTGTAATACATTCAAGCATGTTAAACACATGAGACAAGATGCAACTTTACATTATTTGCAATTTTTTTGGGTATTTAGGATTCTTTCATGTACTTGTGGATGGAAAACATCTGGAAGATGTCATCCTAAACAGGGCACTTGTGCCAGAGGGGACAACTTGAACTAGAATGATATGGTATAGCTTTCCCAGTTTGGATTTGTCAAGTTCTCCCATAAGATTGGTGCTTCTGGCATTTTGGTCCCTCTCAGCAGCTCCAGGGAAGTGGAGGTAGCCAAGTGCCCTCTCTATCACCATCAACACACAAATGAACCATTTTCCTGAAAAAACCTTGAAAGTGCTCTGCAAACTTGAGTTCCCTCACCCATTCTGCAGTCACCTACATTCCAAAGCTGGGGGTGAAACACAACTCACCTCCTTCCATTTCATCTCGTCCTGGAAGCTGACGACTATTTTGACGTGCCTGCCTCCCTCCTTGCGGGCAGAGCCGTCTCCAGGGTCATCCAGGAGCATGTCTGCGGGCAGGGAACATCAGCAGCCTCACAGCTGGAGCTCACTTACCATGGGGACTGCTCTGGTTTACTGCAGTCCAACACAACACGCCCGGGCTTCACGTGCCCCAGGTAAAACACAGGAACCAGGCTGACTGCCTTCCCCGCCACATATCCCTCTCAAAAAGGGAAGGTGAAAATTATTAGCCAGTTACTCTGTATTTTCCTTCCTATGATATATCCCCTGGCAAATGTGCACCATTAAATGGCTTTAAACAGGACTTTTCAGAGCTGAGGTCATAATTGGACAGCTCTGACCGAGGGTGTAGCAGACCTACGATGATATTTGAAAGAGGGCTCTGTGCCAGCTCGTGACATATTTCCACACCTCAGCTGTGAATAATCCTCACGCTCTCATTTTTCCATGGCTAACCAACCCAAGCCTTCCAAGTGCAGGATGAAACCTGCCCCAGCACCCCTCATTAAGCTCACCGAGACTGCTTGACTCCGTGAGGTTCAGGCTGTGTTGAGAGAGACCCACGGAGTGTCTGGGAGAGGAGGAGATGGAAACCTGAGACTGAGCCCTGCTGCAGCTGCCGTGGTTTTCAGACTTCAGCCGATCGTTCTCTGCTTTCAGCTTCTCAATCTCGCTCTGCGAGAGACAAGTCAAAGTGAAAACACAATCATAAGACAGCAACATCAGAAACTTAAGAATAAAGGGCAGTTCAGCAGAAAGGCTGTTTCCATCATGTTTTAATGAAGGATTTTAATTATTAAAATGTCTGTTCTGTGAAACTCTTCAAAGTATCCTAAAATACCTCAGTATGTGGGAATTCACTAACACTGAAATGCAATGACCTCAAGGCAGAGAGGATGGAAACATCCTGGCCTGGATCAGGAATGGTGTGGCCAGCAGGAGCAGGGAGGTCACTCTGCCCCTGCACTGGGCACTGCTGAGGCTGCACCTGGAGTGCTGTGCCCAGCTCTGGGCCCTCAGTTTGGGAGGGATGTTGAGATGCTCGAGCACATTCAGAGGAGGCAATGAGGATGGAGAGGGGCTGGGAACACAAACCCTGTGAGGAACATTTGAGGGAGCTGGGGTTGCTCAGCCTGGAGAAGAGGAGGCTCAGGGGTGACCTTATTGCTCTCTACACCTTCCTGAAGGGAGGCTGCAGACAAGTGGGGTTGGTCTGACAGAACCAGAGGACACAATCTCAAGCTACAGCAGGGAAGGGATAGGTTGGATATCAGGAAAAAATTTTTCACTGAAAGAATAACCAAGTACTGGAATGGTCTTCCTAGGGAGGTGGTAGAATCTCCACCTCTGGATGTGTTTAAAAAAAGCCTGGCCATGGCACTTGGTGCTATAGTCTGGGTGAGTGTTAGGGCAGAGGTTGGACTCGATGATCTTAGAGATCTCTTCCAACCTCATTATTCTGTGATCCTGTGATTTTGACAGCCAACAAAACGCTGTCCCCAAACGCTGTCCCCCAAACGCTGTCCCGGGGCTGGAACAGCTGCCGCCCAGGGCAGCGATGTCAGGCGCTCAAGCTGCCTTTCAGGGAAGGTGTAAGCCCGGCCCAGGCTGCAGGTCTGGGGGCTGCCCCTCACCTGCATCCTGTTCATGGCCTCGCGCAGCTGGTCCAGCTGGTGGGCAGAGCTGAGCGCCTCCAGGCGGATGTCGGTCAGCTTCATCTCCTTGTCGCGCAGCTCGTTGCGCAGCTGCAGCACCGTCTCGGCCTCGCTGTCCGTGCACTCTGAAATGCTGCACGACACCAACACACACACACCTTCCTCTCCTGCTGCTGCTCCTCCAGCGTTCAGGAGCACAAGAGGAGCTGCTTTTATTCTGCTCGAAGCAGGGTAGCAGTTCTGGCACAGTTTTGGCCTTCTGCTGCTTCTCCGGGATTTATTAGCAGAAGAGGACTCATTCTTTTTATTCTGCTTGAAGCAGGTAGCAGTTTTGGCTTATTGAATTAAGTCAGATATTAAACAGGCCATGGAAATTTTAGAGTCTGATGAAACAAAGATGTCTGAGGCTTAATTTTTTAATCAGCATCTGAAACAGAATTCTCTGAAATCACCTACTATTGGACAGTCTTCATTTTTTTTTACAGTAGTTGCTATAAAGGAAAACTTCTAAAGCCAAAATCTAAATAAATTAAAGGGGTGCAGGCATTTAACAGCAGTTGGTTGGAGATTGATGAGTTCACAGACAGATTTAAAGCTCACCAGGTGTGCACAGCTGGGTTTCCCTGAACTGCTCTGGAGGGCTTTGGAACTCTACACCTATTCAAGCATGACAAATTCCTGCTTGCTTTAAAGAATTTACGCTTAAAAAAATTTTGGTGGCATTTTTCTGCCCTCCGCCCACAAAAAAAAACCAAAACCAAAACGGAGTGAGTAACAACATTTCAGCACATTTCCAACTGTATCTGTATAAAGATCAACCACACAGCTGCATGCTTTAAGGGACATTTTACCTAACATGTCTCTCCCTAAATCAGTTTCATGAGAGATGTTTTCCCCACCAAAAAGCCAAGGCACACCAGTTTTACTTGTGCTCTATGCTTTCCCCAGTTCACATATTTACTCTTTGTTCATGTTTATAATTTTGGCTTCCACAGCAAGGTGAGATGTACCCACACAGCATTTTGGCTGATGACAGATGGGATCACCATTTGACAATTTGCTGGGCTGAGAGCTGTAAAGCACAACTTGCTGTAGTCACCAGAAACACTCTGAGTTAGGCTCAGGAGACAGAGGAAGCTTTGAAACAAAAATCATGGGGGATTATCTCCTGCTACTGACATTTCATCACTGCTATACAGCTGGAAACTATTGCTATTGTTTTCACTTCTTCCTGTGAAAACAAGTGCAGGGGAACTACTCCAATGCATTTGTTCTGAGATCAGGCTGGAAGCTCTGCACGACCTCCCAAGGCCAGGAGGCTGTGTGCTAATTACAGCTTTCTGTATTTATTTATCCTGCTCAAGTGACAAAGCTACTGATGAAATTCACATAAAAGCTGCTTCACTAAATTTCCCATGTACATTCTAAAATGTGAGCTCACACTGAAAACAGCCTGGAAAGGGAATTGTTGAACTGCATTTCACAGGTGGCCATGGAAAGGACCAGGCACAGGTGGCTGGGAAGCTACAGAAGGAAGGAGGAGTGGGTCATCTCCATCCACCAGGCACAAGCAGTCAGATGAGTTCACCTGTATCACTAACCCACACTGTGTGATTTCCTTTCCTTTATCTCAATTTGTCAATAGAATTGAGAACTTATCATGGCAGATGAATACAGTATGTCCTGTGTTTAGACACGAGAAACCAAATCCCAGATTTGACCTGGTTTGTTTAATTAACAGCAAGAGATCCAATTAATTTGGCACCTCAAGGTCACCCTGGATATAAATATCCTTGATATTCAGTACATTCTGCTGAGAGAGCAACCCAGTGAAATATTTACATTCCAGTACTGACAAAATGATTTTTGGCTTCCTGGACACTAATGGAAAGGTACTGGGTTGGGAGTCAGCTCATGCATCTTTAAATCTCTGAACACATGAATTCAGCATTTCTGTCCTCTGCCTTTCCTCTCCCAGTGCAGCAAGATGCTTTTCATGTCGTTTTCTGTCTAAAAATTGCAAAAAAATCACTTACAGGGAATTGGAATGGGAAGCTCTCAGCAGCGGTGTTGAAACAGTGGTGTTGTGGTGTGGTAGCTTTGGTGAGGAAGGTAAGGAGGAATCAGTCATCTCCTCAATGTCTGAATGAGAAGATGCTGACTTGGGAGATTTCTTTTTCCCAAAAGCTTGCTTGAAGGAGCTGCGTAACTGGAACAAAAACAAAAGACCACAGCAGCAGGTCCATCATTAAGAGTGAAACCAGACAAAAAAAGCCACAGAGTAAAAACTTTCAACATGCAAATACTCCAGATGCTACAGCCATACTCACATACACAGTAACATGGGTGAAAAACAAAAAAGGCTTTTTTTTCCTTAACTATTTTATCAGATTAATAAGGTCAATAGGAGTGGCTATGGGTGCTTCCTATTTTTTAAGAGCTACATGACAGCAAGCTGTGTTGAGGGCAGCAAGCTCTGCAGCGGCGTGGTGCCAGCCTGCAGCACTGGCATGGGCCAGGCTAATGCCAGGTTAGTGCTGCTGCAGGGTTAGTGGTGTCAATGGGGTTAGCTGTGCAGTTCAAAGAACGTCCTCCTTACCTCATTGACCTGCCGCGACAAGTGCAAGCAAAAGGAAGTGGGGGAAGGAAAAAAGACATGTTTTAACAGATAAAGCCACTGATAAGGAAGTTTTGGGTTTCTGAGACAAACATGACCAATGATTAACAAAGACAAACAGTTGCTTTAAAACCAGAACCCTGTATTTTCCAAAACCAGGTGTCTCAAACCACATACAGCCATTGTTTTGCATTACCTGAGGAAGACACCAGAGCCAAAGTCTTTAACTATTTAAATTACATTTTCTCCTTAGCTCAGGCAGAGTGCTTTGGCTAAGAGCCAAGTTAATAATGTATTTTTCCTTGCAGGAACAGGTATTTAACCATGTGAAAAAACTGTAACTTCTCTACCTACCTGCAACTAAAATGACCTTTAGGAATGTGACTGCCATTTTCCTAACAAGAATTAATATTCAAATCATTATGAACTGCTGTGACCCCAAAGTTACAATTCAACAGGTAGTGTTCAGAAGCATTTGGACAACATTCTTAGATATGTAGTTTCACTTTTAGGGAGCCCTAAAAGTTAAACCTCCATGGAATCAAGGTCTGGACTTGATGATCCTCGTGGTTCCCCTCCCCCTCAGGATTCTCCATGTACACTTTTAATGCCATTGCAAAATCTGCATACGTACACAGGCTGGCTTAATATGAGCTGGAAACAGTTTTCTAAGCCAGTCAAAGATTCCCACAATGAGAAATGCTGAAACCCTGATGTTTCAGCTCTGAATGCACATCTGCATTGCTTCTACACAGAACACAAAGAGCTTGGCTGAGAGCTCCCTCAGCACTGGTGGAATAAAGAATGTGTGAATCAGATTCAACTCACACATTCTTTGTTGTAGTGTTTTAAATTTCCAATCTTCATTTCACAGCAATGATGCACTCAGTTTTAATAACAACACAAAAATACTGTCCTGTTTCCTCTACTTCATGAAAACTTTATTTATATGACTTTATAATGAAAAGCATGTTCCCTTAATCTTCTTCAAAAATAGTTATCTGATGAGTGAGAAATGTGGGCTGATGTAAGACCATATCCACTAGGTTACAGTAACAAAAAATAGAAGCTAAACAAGAATTTTAAAAGTGTTTATCTTAACCAAGACTTAATGACTACAAAAGTTTTGTGTCACAAACTAAGGGTTGCTAGAAATTCACAAGCTACAGCAATTTATTTTGTCTATATACTAATGTACAGGACAAGAAGGATTTGGACAAGATGTTGTTTCCATTCTACCAATTATTTAAGGGGCAGAGTGGAAATGCTTCTTCTGTGAAGCAGCTGGCAATGCCAAGAGATACCACAATGAAACCTCTGAGATAAGAGAGAAATAAAAACAAGAATTTGTTCTCTTTCTTACAGTTCAGGAGTTTCATCAACATTTCTGAGAGAATACTGAGCAAATAGCTTTTACCAGCTCTAACCACATTTTGCATCTCGACAGATTTGTCTGTACACCCAAGAGATCCAGGGAGATTTAAATCCAGTGGGAAGAAAGGGGTGGATTGTTTTACTGACTACAATAAAGGATCTAGGGACTTCAGTCCAGACTACAGTCAGACTAGGTCACTAAGGCAATTATGGTCTAATTGAAAATGGAGTTGAAGATAATGTACCTTTCCTCCAGTACAGGGTACCTTGCACATAGTACATGAGGAGCAAAGAGGGAGAAATGGGAAAGGACAGGTAAGTAATGCAAAAACTTCCAAAAGAGATGTCCATCACGAAAAATTTTTAAAGATAAGTATTTTTTATATTATTCTTAGCAGTCCAAGTTAATTCTGGACAAAGAGTTCTTAAACTGTTTAATATGTTCACTTATAAGAAAGCCCTACGATGTAAAAACAAAAGAAAAGCCACAAGAATGATCTTCTCTTGTGAGTCTGTTTTTCTTTAATGACAGATGTCACATTTTCCTTAAGGGACTGGACACCCTATTGGCCAGACCTGATCTTTTACAGCTGTCAAGCTAAAATTCCATCCTACGCAGAGTCAGCACAAGGGTATACATCACTTACAACTCAGTAAAGCCTTCACAGGAGAGTTTACCCAGGATTTAAGCAGGGCACAGTCCTTGTGCTAACCTGCTGCACGAGGCAGGAGGGAGCTGCATTTCACTGTGCTGTCACAGACATCTTTTATGACAATCCTTTCCTCAGGATTTTGTCTCCTGAGAAGCTGAGAGGCCTCAGGACCAAAATGTAAACATTGATTATCTGCTGCTGTGAAATGCAATAGGTGCCTCTGGGATTGGCTCATGTGGTTGTTGCTAATTAATGGCCAATCACCGTCAGCTGGCTCGGACTCTCTGAGACAGAAGCTTTGTTATTCATTCCTTCTTATTCTATTCTTAGCCAGCCTTCTGATGAAACCCTTTCTTCTACTCTTTTAGCATAGTTTTAATGTAATATATATCATAAAATAATAAATCAGCCTTGTGAAACACAGAGTCAGATCCTCATCTCTTCCCTCATCCTCAGACCCCTGAGAGCACGGTCACACCGTGCATGTCCTGACCATTTCACAAAAACCTCACAGTCTCCTACAACCTACTCACCCAGTTCTTCCTCTTCTTCTTCTTGGAGTCGCTGTCGATGTTGCTGCCCACGCTGGAGTGGCTGGTGGCACTGTTGATGCTGGACACGCTGTCTGACGAGTGCTGCCTGCGGATCCGCAGCTCCGCGGGCTGGGCAGCGCCAGGGCCTGGGCAGCAATGCAGGCAGTCACAATCAGCTAGGAAATGTGATCACTGCCTTCAATAATGCAATCCTGAAGCTGCATTTTGGGAAACCGGGACTCTGACAAGCCCTTATCCCAATGGATGGATTGTGGATTTCAAATCCTTGTTTCTTGTGATGACATTAAAATCGGAGATGCTTCAAACCTTTCCTTCAGCAGTTTATGACAGTGTAAATGAGTGGGTTACTCTGGTCTCTGGGTAACTCTGATGGTTACATCAGTATTACCCAGAGCCCTGGAGCCTCTCTATGTGGTGCTTGTCTCTCACCTTTGCAGTTGAGCTCAGGTGTGTTGATGACTCCATTGATGGCAGCCTGAGCAGCAGCATTTTGTTTCTTCAGCAGTTCAATTGTCTTCCTTAACTCATTCAGTTCCGAGTCCTTGAATAAGGGAAAAAACCATATGATAGTGCACAGGAGAAGAACACCAAAGAAGCTGTTTTTTCCACCTAACTTTTGATAATTCATAGTGAATTTATGTAATATATATGTACAAGGAGGTGAAAATGAGGTTTGGGATACCTGGGGAAGCACACCCTCAGCAGGGTGCAAAACAGCTTAGGTATTATGATACCAAAAAAATGCACATATGGTGTAATGCAGAAATAATGTCTATTCAAGCATACTGTCTAAAAACACAATGCTGCCAGTCTTGTAAGTATTCTTCTTGGTGTTTCTTTCAAACATGCCCATGTATGGATGCATTGGGATGGAATATATTACAGAAATATGCAATGCTGAACACCTGTGTCCAAAGCAACAAGCAACAGGAATAACCTGATCAGTTGCCACAAAATCCCAGTGCAGAAAATGAGTGTTTTATACAAACTATTTTTCACATTTTACTCTGTCACCACAAATGAGGGAGCTAAGTCAAATTGACTTATGTTTGTGACTTTTTTCCCCCCCACAACCACAGAAGGAGCATGGGCAACAATGCTGGAAACAGAAATCAGGGCTTCCAAACGCTTTTGGAGCTTGCCTTCTGCTCTGCTGTCATGGTCAGGCTCTGCAGTCGGATGGTCATGTTCCCCAGGCTCTGCTCAAACGCTGCCACCAGGTGAGCCTGAAACCAAAGCACACAGGAGGAGTGAGTTCTCTTCCCCCAAGAAGGAGGATTTCTGCAGGTATTTAATCAGGCCACCCAGTGCATGGCACTGTTTGTTGTGTCAGAGGTGCACAAAAAACAACACAGCTTAGAAAAGGGCACACGAGTAGAGCGCACATTATGGAAATGCTTGCCAGCAATAAAACAGTGTGTGTACAGAGAAGGGTCAGGCAGAAATTTCCCTCCATCTAAATCAGTATTTTCCTTTGTGGATATTTAAGGCAAAAAGATGTTGGCAGCCACAGGGGTGGAGGTTCTCACTGTGTTTATCCCACCAGGGGAACAGATGCTTTGCCAGATGATGCACCTGCATCTAACTCCAAGACTTCTCCAATATCTGAGCACACCTTGCTTCCAGCCAAGGTCAGCTTGCTGCATATCATCCAAAATTCCTGCTGCTTGGCCAATTGCCCTCTTTTCCTTTCCCAAGGAAAGAAAAAAAAAAGTGCTTTTTCAGAAAAAGATTCTACATTCTTCTCCCAAGAAGCATGGAAAACAGAGTGTCTGTTACATGAAAGACATCAGCTAGGAACTGAAAATGACTGAGAAGCAAAAGGAAGGAAAAGTAGATTGGAAAGATGGAAAACAATGTAAGAAACTATATTTCTACAGCCATGACATGGCACTGTTTTATGGGTATTCATATGTATACATAACTGATCACAGGTGTATTTCAATACGTATTTGTCTCACTAGCCATAATAATCTATACTAACAATTAAAATATAGCTTCATTTATCTATTAAAAATAATTCTACATGCACAACAACACGTAAAATGGTGAAATCTTTCCAAGCAGCAAGAGATATTTTCTCACCTAAAAAATACAGAATAGCAAAACCTTTCACAGAGCTATTCCAGACTCATTCAGCAGCAGCACACAGTTGACTTATCCTAAATAACTGTTCTCACATTCACAATGAAAACAAACATGAGCAGTACAATAACATGGGGATGTGCAGCTCTAATTCCCATCAGCCCCTATGAAAATAAGCAGAGCTGAGACTGTGAGAAAATGGCAAAAAGTAATTCAAAACCTAACACTACACACGTAGGAAAATCTAAATATTTATTTTAAAAACACAGAGTGCACAGCTTCTGTTGGGGAGGACGAACAGGGAACAACAAAGCTGATATTCAGGGATCCTCAGCAATACTTTTCAAAAGCAAAAAATAAATGGGCAAGCAGGAGTGCATGGATTAGTAACAGATACAAACCCTTAATGCTTTGACCTGAGCCTTATAAACCAGTTGCTCTTTCAAAACTGGATCTTGCAGTTATTCCTATCTTGAAATCATTCAGTGAGCTAAGGAAAAAATGTAATCTTCATTTTCTATAGTGGGAGCAAAATGTTTTCAAATTCATGCCCTTGATAGCTTGAGAAGCACCAACAACTGCAGTGTCTATGCAAGGAAACTCAGGAAAAAACCTGTAAACTGAAGAGATTAATTTGAATTGTCAAAGTTTTAAGTGCCTTTTTTAAAAGGAATCATATCTAAAGGAAATGTCCAAGTGTCTTAACTAATAGCATTTATTAGTCTCAATCTTTTTGGGAACAGACCTTGCCTTTTACATGGAAAAAGGATGTTCTCTGGAAAGAGGTGGCTAAAGACTGAAATTTAATACTGGGACAGTTATAGCAACATCTCTGCTGCCAATTTATGGACAGATCAGGGAGATTAGGGGCAGCCTCAAGTCTAAGGAGTTTAAATCACATGAATAAAACACTGTAAAGTTTTAGCAAAGTGAACTAAGCAAAAATGGAGTATTATCAAAATAATATATTATAGGCTTTGTTGGTTTTGTTTTTTTTGGTTTTTGTCTGAGAAATGCCCACAAGAAAAACCCACAAAAACCCAAATGAACCCAATCTAAACAAAAGCATCCAGGAGGAGTGTACACTAAGAGAGTGGCAGTAAGCACACAGGAATTGCTGGGCAGATGCAGAGCAGCTGGGCCAGCAGCCTGTGCTGAGCACCAGCCCAGCGACCCTGAACTGCAGCAAGCAGAATGCAATAAAGAGCCAAAGGAGCTGCTCAGCTGACAGGGCCTTTGTTTGAAGGACACAAGCTGGGTTATTTAACAACACCATTAAAAACCCATCCAAGAAAATCGGGTCCTGCTTTCCCACAAGTAAAAGAATCTTCTGGGGAAAAACCAATCCCTTTTGTATTTGAAAGGCAATTACAAGACTTAACTTTTGAAAGATGTTTAAACTGTTTTCTTTTCCCCTTGGGACAGTAACTAAGTGGTTTCATTCAGCCAAAGCCCTTCTGTGTGACTTCTCTGTAATAACTGTGTTTCTAGTTTCTGGCCCCATTTCCCAGCTGGATGAAGCACTGTGGTGCCTGGAGTGGACAGCACAGATTTCCCCTTGAATCTCCCCTCAGCTGATGGACAAGGAAGTCCCCTTCAAGCAGCACAGGTTCTGATGTTTACTCACTCCCATAAACCAGGATGTCAGGATGATCTGATCTGCTATTCATCTCCAGCATATTTACTCTAGAATTGCTTATTTTCCTTGCAAGCTTCTGTGTTGCAGATTCCTCAGATTCCTGCTATCTGTGACTTGCAGCACAGAACACACAAATAAACTTGCTCAGGGTCATGCAGTATTGCCTCAACACCTCCTGGATTGCAAGTATTTTTTTTCCCTGAGTGTCTTAAATTACTTATCCCTCAAATTCTTGAAAGGAACAAGCAGTAGTATTGCCTACACTGACAAAAAGTCAGGTATCTCAGTTCTTCAGGCTTAACTTTAAATCAGCTTCCAGAGCCCCTTACGCCAGTATTATCTATCATGCCACATCTTTATGCAACAGAAAAGCATAATGCAAAAAAAGCAAAACTTTCAGTCCAAGTTTCTATTAACTTTTATTCCTACCAATTATAATCTTTTTCTGTATCTCATCCCACCCAAATGTCAAAGCAAGACACTGTTTTTAAAAAAAAATACCCTGTCCTCAATGATCTTCTCAGGACCTTAAGATGGCTTACACAGGTATAAAGCCAAATTAATATTATACCTCAGTTTTTAAAGAAAAGTGTAAGATAATTTATGTAATTCAGTAGGGCAGAGGATGCTATTTTTGGACATGCCCCACACATGCAAACAGTTATTTCTTTCCACACATCAGTAATACAAACTGAATGTTGTACACACGAAACCTTTTTGTCACTTCAAGAAGCTGGGTGGTAATTGTTGCATTAAATGCATTCCAGCTCAATGTACTCACATTAGCAGTCAGCTGAGTTGTCAGAGCTGACACCTTTTCCTGGGATGCATCCAATTCTCTGCGCAGCTTGCGAATCTGAGGGTTTCAAGAGAGCACTTTAGAGCATCACAGCAAGGAGAAAGGAAACGGCAGCACAGACAATGCACTGTGGCATCTCTGCTTGGCAAAGAGCATGTGCTCCTACCTCTGACTGGCACTTCTCTTCAGGCTGGAAAATAAAAGGAAGCATGTGAGGATATTACAACATAACCAGCCGGACAAATTTATGCAAATGATCTTTTTGTATTTCAAGAATTCTAATATGAACTCCCTGTTTTGGATTCCCTCATCCATATTCAGTCTAATTTCATCTCCTAATTTATTTACTCTCGAGGAAAAAGAAAACAGGCTGCTGGAGGTACTTCCTTCTGCAGGAAGGCATTTGGGCTCCACCTCAGCCTGCTGACCAGTGATCTCATCATGGAGATTCTTTAGTAGTAAATCATTATTATAAGGATGGGATGACTTTATTCATCAAATTTTGGGATGCTATAAGTAACAAAGTTCAAATCTCCTCATATCAGCTAAGGTGCTTTGTAGCAAAACCTACTTATCATGGCATACAATATAGACTCAAAAAATCAATGGCTGCTTTTAGGCCATTGAAGTCTGTGTTTGATGTGCTAAATATCCACAGGCATCTCCAAGAACATAAACATTCCTTTCCTAGCTAGCATTCAGAACACAGTCAAATGAAAACTGCTTTTCTCCTGCTCCCTGAATGGCCAAACTAGCACAGCAAGACCAGCCAATTCAATAATTTTGATGAATAAATATACACTTATTTCATTATACTCACTGTGGAATAAATAGATGATGTACTGGACACCAAAGAGAGAGAAGAACCATGCACTGAAGGAAAGAAAATAAACACAATGAATTCAAGTACACTAACCACAGGGTGGAATCATCATAAATCATCCCCTGTAAACCTCCAATCTGCTGTAGAAATACTTTCACAAATTTCATCATCCATCATAAACTTAACCATATTATTGTACCAATAATGTATGGTTTGAAGCATGCATTGCCAGCTGACACAATCCATAACCTCAGATTTGGTAAAGCCGTTTCAAAACTCTCATAAGACTTGGTTTTTTGGGAAAATTAGGTGTGGCCAAGAAAGTTTACAGAAGTTTTGATGAAGGTCTGTTCAGAGATAAATATTTCTCTGGATAGTTTATATTAAAATTCTTGCAAAAGGGCTTATTCAAGATTAAAAAAAACCCCAAGAAATGCAGAATGGATTACAAAATTAAATCCAAGTATTTAATCTTCACTTTTAGGTGAGACTGAGGTTTGGTTGGTTTTATTTTTAAGCAACCGACCAAGATGGGAAAGTCCTGAGGAAACCACAACACCCAGCTCCAGTGCGTAGCTCCAGGAGGAGACGTGGAGGACCCAGGATAAAAAAACTGTCTAATTTTGGGGCTGTGAATTCTCCTCTAAATGCAGCTTATCTTCCTTCTGCTGACTTAAGGGAGCTTAACAAGCCAACGTTCCCTTTCCCTGCAGGGTTTCTTGGTGTTCCTCTAAAGCAAGGACATTTTTTTAACAAGGCAAAGTTTGTTCTCTCATAAAAAATTAACTGTGAAAACACAGCTACAAAACTTTCTGGAAAAGGATTCATTTCAAGCAATTTTTGCATTTAAATTCAATAAAGGACCTACATATACCCTGATGACTAGGTGATCTTCAGAGGTTCCTTCCAACCCTAACTATTCTGTGATTCTCAAGGTTGCTACCATGCTGATGCCTGTTACATCAGGATTTACATATAAATACAGCATCATTTCATTCCCTATTACACTACTGAAAAAACTACCTGAAGCTATTCTTTCTGCTACTGAAACATGCAAAATTACTTTTCCCTTATTTTTATTTTTAGAAACAAATAGTAGTGAACTGAAACTTTCATTCAAAATTCAGGTAACTGAACACAGATCATATGAAATAGCATAAAATAATTTTTTTCTTTCTATTAAGTCCTCCAGAAAAAAAAAAAAAAAGCTTAGAAAAGCTGCCATTTTGCTTTAATTACCTAGAGCAATTCTACATTCATAATAAATGGGTTCTGCTTTCCCACTGACATTATATCCTAAGGCAATACTGGAAAGAGAAGTAAACAAGGTCTAAGTTGGCTTCTGAAGGAATTTAAGATAATTTAGAAAACCCACAAGAAAGTGAAAAAAACCCCTCACATCCATTTGCTTTCTCTGGGTAATCATATTCTCAATTAAAATGATCTTTCTAGTCCCACATTAAGGACTGTCCTGCACTAAGAACACAAAATAAGTGGTGTGAGTCAGAGGCAGCTCTGTCTGATGGTGTGCTCAGCCCTGGCTGCAAGCACAGCCCATGTTTACTGAAGGAATGAAAAGAGGAGACAGATACACAGAGATTATTCCCCAGGGACATCTCTGCACCTTCTGGGAATCAGCAGAGATGGAAATTCCAGCGGTGGGAACTGCAGCCAGACCATTATTTTGGCTGTGACCTGTCTACCATTAACTCCCCTACCTGTGACTGAACCCACTGACACATTCTGTCTGCAATGAAAAATTCCCTTGTGCTCAGAAATGGAATTCTTTGCAGTTGTGTTAGACCTGCTACTGAATTAGTAAGTTCCTGGAGTGCCTCCATGCCATTGTGCTAACAGGAGGAATGGATGACCAATCTCTTCATAACAAACAAAAATTCAGCACACATCCCTTCAGCCACCACTTTCCATGCTGAAGACTTCTAATTTAACTTTATATCACAGATGTTCTGTGCTTAAGATCTCCTCCTCACTTTTCTTTACCTGCATTTTCCCCTTCTAATTTAACTTTATATCACAGATGTTCTGTGCTCTAAGATCTCCTTCTCACTTTTCTTTACCTGCATTTTCCCCTTCTATTTTAACTTTATATCACAGATGTTCTGTGCTCTAAGATCTCCTTCTCACTTTTCTTTACTTGCATTTTCCCCTTAAGATTTTCAAGATGGAAAGTCCAAAGTGAGACAATTCTGCACAAGTCCACAAATGGACTCACAGAGGGAATATAATATTATTTTCTGGTCTGCCTCCCTATGTTCTTCCTTGTTGAATTCTTTTCCTAATAGAGATGTAACCAAAAAAGAGCCCTACCAACTGCCAGAGAGGAAACAGAAACTTTACCATGGACTTGGTCAGACACAACACAGAGTTAGCATCAGCTGCGATTTTTAAGATCACACTGGGACTTTAATACAGGAGAGAAGATGCAAAATAAGAAAAAAGGGAAAGAACATATAACTCTGGGAATCCTACTCCTGCCTTGTGAAACACCGGCATCACACAGAATCTCAGATTTATTTGGGCTGGAAAAGGCCTCTAAGATAAGCCAGCACTGCCAAGGCCATCAGCGAGCCATGTCCCTAAGGAGCACACAGACACAGGAATGGTGACTCACCTGCATCACCTGAACGTTACAGAATTTCAGAGTTCTCATTTCAAGGACAACTGAGGAGTTAATACACTTGTGCAATTTCTTTTTACAGGACCTGCAGATGGCTACTTGAAGGCTATTTAATGAGGAGCCTGAAGGCAGTTATGCTCCTGATGCAATTCCTGTTTCTTGCACCCAGCATGCAGCTGCATGCAGCCCACAAACCCAAACTGCTCTGGAGCTATTATTTTAAAGCACTGTAAATGCACAGGCAAGCATGTACCATTTTTAATGCTAGAAAAGAAACCATCTGCCCAGAGAGCAGAAAGAAGAACTGGTGTTGCAGTCAGTAGCACAAAAAGGAGTAACAATTTATATTCCAACGATCAAGAATTTCACTTTTTTTCTCTCAGGGTGGAGCCAGCGGCAGCCCAGCTGCTGGGGAAGAGTGGGGAAACTGGAGAGCCAGGAGAGCCCTCAGTTTCTGTGCTGTGCTTTTTCCCCAGGAAGCCCTGGCGAGTCTGGAGGCTGCTCCTGCTGGCCCTGTCTGCCACAGGAGTTACTGCAAGGCTGACCAACCTCTCACCCACCTGCTGTGCTGTGAGAGAACACGACTGCTCTTCACACCCAGAGACAAGAGGAGAAAAGGCTGGAAAGAATAAACCCTGGCCCTGCCTGGAGGTTAATGAGAAACAAATGCCTTGTAATACTGTGTGCTAGGAAATAATTAAGAAGTAGGTTGGTAAGCTTAATTTCAGACCTGGATTTGCTTCGTTGACACTGGATGATTGTGTAAATTCACTTTGTTCATTAACCACAGATTTAAATTTCTATAATACTTTTAAATCTATTCTCTCAAGGTGAAGGCAAACCTCTGCTATATTCAGAAACACTGAACCACTTAGACCCTGAGAAATAAGCAGGACTTGGTAAGCAGGTGATGGATGACCTTTCTCCTGAAGACAAAATACAGAGACTACACCTAAACATTCAATCCATATGGTAAAATATTATTACAGTTTTAGGTGTGTAAAATTGAGGAAAATCTGAAAGGGATCTTCAGCATGTCACCTGTAGGGTCAGATTCCATCCTCAGGTATAAAAGTGGTATTTTCCAACCACTTTCAAGTCCATAACTTAGTGGATATTTCTTGGACTTCCTTTTTATTACTTTTTTCAAATGAATAAAAAGCCCTTCATAGAACATTTCACCTAAGTCTTTTCAGAGTTTCCTTTTCTTTTTTTTTTTAATGGTTCATCTTCAAACATGCAATACTTATTAAATGTTTATCCAAATCAGTCTCTCTGCTGGACAAGAATTTCTGAACTACAAGAGAGAGTTTAACCTCCAATGTGCCAAAATGGACTTGCTGCAATCTTGAGCACAGTTAAAAGACCAAGGCTACAATTTTTTGGAGGATGTCTTCAATGAAACCCAAGTAAATTTTGCTGCAGTAGTCCTTCTGGTAAATTACTGAAGTGCAACACAGATACAGAGACTCAAATTCCTTCCCAGATTATACTGACTGACTGAGCATGTGGCAGCCTTTGGCTGTTCATGAACATTCAGCTTTCTGACAGCAAACAAAGGTTAATTCCTGCCATGACCCAGCTTTTAGCCCTGTAGCGTTATTCTAATAATTTTCAACCCCTAATAAAAATCCTTAGCCACAGACCTCTAAAACACAACAAAATGTACTGAAGTTAGACTGACTAAATTCAATAACCAATTAATTAATTAATCTTTCCAGAGACACATCCAATACCTATTTTCTACCTTCTCCAGTGGCAAACAGCCATGCTGGGATAACCAGAACGTCCAGGAAGGCCCTTTGCAGCTCTCCAAGGTTTCTGCCAGGGTGGCTGCCATGCAGGTCTGGTTCCTGGGGAGCAACAACCACGGGGCACTGGCACTAACCGTGCTGAGGAAGTGCAGGTCTCCAGAAGGAAAGAGCATCAAGGCTTGTGTGGCCTGTGAAGCACAACCAAGCTCCTCCCAACCCTTGCCAGCAAGGAGGTTTAGGACTCAAAGAGTTAACAGTGAAAATGTCTCCTATGAGCCCCTCCATGCTTGACTTCTCAAAGTGCAATGCTTGAGGATTTTAATGTGTGCTCACAGCTGCTCCTCCTGCAGCTACAAGGATGCCTGATCAGGAGCAAACAAACTAAATATTCATTTCTAGGTAAATGCTTTTTCTTATTACGCTTACATGGGTTCTTTTTATCAGGTGTGGTTACATATTTGAAAAGGTGATGAAGCACTAAATAGACAAGCCTAGATATATATAAAAAAAGATGAAAGTTTTAGGGCACAGGCTGGTCCTTCTTCTTTACCTTCTTATTCCTTCCTCTTCCTGAGTTTGGGTGATATTTTGTAATTGCACAGAAAAGTCTACACTGCGGATTTCAAATGATTACTTACTGGGCTAAAAGTGAAAATAATTTAGGTGTCATTTCTTAATTGGATAGTTCAGCCTGAAAAGACCTTGTATAGAAAGACAGCCATTTGGTAGCTTTTTAGAAGAACACTGCAAAACTCACAGCTTTTGGGTTTCTGTGGTTGAGATGACCCCAAGGTATTACAAAGTCTTTTTTTTCTTAGCCTTGCGACTGAAGAAGTCGAGATTTGTTGGTCTTATTTTTCAAGGCTGTTTATTTGCTTTTATCTGTTCCATTCCTTCTCTGACCTGCTGAGATCTGCCCAGCAGGTTGGGTTGTGGCACAGTCCCTGCCCTTGGGGTGGTGTTGGCTTTTTATACTAAGAACTACCTGTGCTTTATTTACAATAATTTTCCAATGCCCATCACCTATGTCAGACAGTCTGTCTGTACCCTAAACCAATCCAGAAGTGTCACCATCACAGCAGAAGATGGAGGACAAGAAGGAGAAGGAGGACAGGACATGCCCAGATTCCTCCATGTTGCTTCTTGAACCCCCATACTAAATCCCCCAAATTCTACTTTTTCACCCTGTGACAAATTCACTATCATTCTACTCAAACTCCTGTGGCCTGTAACTCCTCACA